GTCACCATTTTTGAGCTTTGTTCTGGAAAGCAGATAAAATTACTTGGAAATGTATCCTTTTGAGTCTTGCTTTTTAAGCCTGTTAGATGGCATTTATCCTTTCTGTGTTTATAAAGCAACACAGTTATATGTTTTCTTATTTCCTTTTCTTTCTTTTACAAAAATAGCTTGTATAGGGATCCCTGGGTGGCGCAGCGGTTTGGCGCCTGCCTTTGGCCCAGGGCCCGATCCTGGAGACCTGGGATCGAATCCCACGTCGGGCTCCTGGTGCATGGAGCCTGCTTCTCCCTCTGCTTGTGTCTCTGCCTCTCTCACTCTCTCTCTCTGTGTGACTATCATAAATAAATAAAAATTTAAAAAATAGCTTGTATATGTCTTTTCATTCATTCTTCCTTAATGCACATCACAGTCTTTTTCCTTACAGTTCTGGCATTCTTACTCAGGCAGTAATTACTTCTGGCCTTACTACTGCATTAGTTTCTTATTTTTTGTTTGGTTTTTAGATTCTTTTCCATCTCTGATGCACTGTTCACACTACTGTCAGAATGATGCTAAAGAACAATTCTGATAATGTCACTGCAGTTATTTTTCAGTGGCAGTCATGTTTTAAAAATTATTCCTCTAGGGTGCCTAGATGGCTCAGTAGGTTAGGCATCTGACTCTTGGTTTTGGTTCATGTGGCGATCTCAGGGTTGTGGGATCAAGCCCCACACTGGGTTCCATACTCAGTGTAGAGTCAGCTTGGGATTCCCTGTCTCCTTTCTCTGACCCTCCCCCCACTCACATGCACATTCATATTCTCTATCTCTCTCTCTCAAATGAATAAATAAATAAAATCTTTAAAAAATTATCCTAATGGTAACAAAAATATCTGGAGTTTACATCTTCATACATTATATTATTTATACATTATAACTAGATATAAGTTAGCATATAGTTTTTTATAATACATCCACTGAGACACTCTAAAACAGAAATTTAAGAATATTTAAAAATTATAGTGTATTTTAAAAATAATTACTTAACATTTAATTATCTTTTTTTAATTTTTTTTAACATTTAATTATCTTATCGATAGAAGCTATATTTTTTTGATAGAAGCTGTATTAAATTTCAGTTAGTGTTATCTACTTTTTTTAAAAAATTTATTCATGAGAGACAGAGAGAGAGAGGCAGAGACACAGGCAGAGGGAGAAGCAGGCTCCTTGCAGGGACTCGATCCTGGGTCTCCAGGGTCACACCCTGGCCTGAAGGTGGCGCTAAACCACTGAGCCACCCGGGCTGCCGTTACCTACTTTTGATTACTTTGGGCTAACTTCTTTTTAGATATGAATGATATGCTCATCATTGGTTTTACCTTGTAATGTACCTGATGAAGAGTTTATATATTTGGTGTAAAAATATCAGCCCTGCTATTTTCTCGGTGTCCTTTATTATTATTATTTGTACTCACATTTTTAGTGTTATCTCAGATCTGCTGTTTCTTTAAGGTAATGTTTTTAAGCCTTATTAAAACTAGATAATAAAGTCGTTTATCTAACAAGGTTAGATGAGAGAACAAGTGAGTGAATTTCAGGATACTGACTGTGATGTAGGACTGATACAGGAATTGAAAGAGGGCAGCACTGTTAATCCATATACTGAATAGATGAAGCTTATTTTCTTGTTTAATTTTTAGATTAAAAATATGTGTGTATGTACATTTCCCTGTGGCATTCCTGGCCCCATCAGGAGGGACAATTCTGCCTGATCATTGAGCCCCCCTCATTATTCCATACTTCCATACGACTGAATATTTTATGTGTGTTGTATCCATTAGCTTTTGCTGTGTAACAGGCCATCCCAAAACTTGGTGCCTTAAAACAATTATATACTCAATTCACAATTCCTTTTGAGAATTTGTTGGATGGGCAGGGTTTTTTTTTTTTTTGGTCTGGCTTGGGTCAGATTATCTGAGGTAATCTGGGCTGGCCTCAAGTATCTGGTCAGCTGGAGGGATGGCTGAAGGCTAGATGTGTTAGGCAAGAATCTAAGATGATTCTCATACCTGTGTGGTTTTTTTTTTTTGTTTTTTTAGATTTTATTTATTCATGAGAGACAGGGGCAGAGACACAGGCAGAGGGAGAAGCAGGCTCCATGCAGGGAGCCCAATGTGGGGCTTGATCCCTGGACTCCGGGATCACGCCCTGAACTGAAGGCAGACACTCAACGGCTGAGCCACCCAGGGATCCCCCTGATACCTGTGTCTTTCTGTTATCTCTTTATCTGGCATGGGGGTGAGAACTGCGCTTTGCTTCTCACAATAGAATATGGCAAAAGCAAAGAGATTTACAGGTATAATTAAAGTCCTTAGTCAGATGACTTTAAGTCAACTCAAAGAAGGATTATCTTGAGTTGGCCTGATCTAGTCAGGCAAGCCCTTTAAAAGAGGACCTAGGGGGGCAGCCCTGGTGGCTCAGCGGTTTAGTGCTGCCTTCATCCCGGGGAGGGATTCTGGAGACCTGGGATCGAGTCCTGTGTCAGGCTCCCTGCATGGAGCCTGCTTCTTCCTCTGCCTGTGTCTCTGCCTCTCTCTCTCTCTGTCTCTCATGAATAGATAAATAAAATCTTTAAGAAACAAACAAACAAAAAAGGACCTGGGGGCACCAGGGTGGCTCAGACAGTTGAGTGTCTGCCTTTGGCTCAGGTCATGATCTCAGGGTCCTGAGATCAAGCCCTGTGTCAAGCTCCCAGCTCAGTGGGGAGTCTGCTTCTCCTCCCTCTTCTTCTCCCCCTACTCTTGCTCTCTCTGTCTGTATCCTTGTCTCAAATGAATATAAAAGAGGACCTGGAGGTTTGAGATGGAAGAATTGAGCAATTTTTGCTTACTTTGAAGAAGCAAGATGCATATTGTGAGGGCCACGTCACAATAACTGTAGGGACCTCTTTAGGAGTTGAGTTCAGGCCCCAGCTGACAGCCAGTAAGAAATTGACCTTAGGCCTATAGCCATAAGAAATTGTTTTCTGCCAGTAGCCATGTCAGCTTGGAAAAGAACCCTGAGCTCTAAAAAAGAAAGCAGCTTGGTTGACACTTTGATTTAAAACTTAATGAGCCCCCGACTGGAAGATCCAGCTAAACCATAAGTTCATACCCCTGGAAATTTGAGATGATAATAAATGTGTGTTGGGTGCCTGGGTGGCTCAGTCAGTTAAGCCTCTGCCTTCAGCTCAGGCCATGATCCCAAGTTCCTGGGATTGAGTTCAGCGTCAGGCTCTCTGCTTTTTGGGGAGTCTGCTTCTCCTCCTTCTGCCTGCCACTCCCCCCTGCTGGTGATCTCTCTGTCAAATAAATAAAATCTTGAAAAAATAATAAATATGTGTTGTTTTAAACCACTAACTTTGTGGTAATTTGTTACACAACAATATAGAATCAGTCTGCTGGATAGTCTAGGATAGCCTTATTAGAATTTTATACTTTTCAGAATGAAATAGAATCATATAATATGTTCCTTTTGAGATTGGTGTTTTTCACTCATCATAGTATTGGAATCTTTCCAACTTGTGTTTATCAACACTTTCTTTTATTGTTGAACTGGTATTCCATTTTATGAGTATACTGTTATAATCCATTCTTCCAGTAAGGAACATTTGAGTTGTTACTAGTTTGGGGCTATTACATATAAAGCCACTATGAAAATCTGCATACAGGTTTCGGTGTGAAAATATTTATCCTAAGATAAATATGTATGAATGGAATTACTGTGTTATATATATGTATGGCTCTGTGAGAAACTGCCACGCTTCTTTTTTTCCCCAAAGTGAGAGTACCATTTTTCATTCCTACTAGTGATGTTATGAGTTGCTGTGCTTTCTCAACAGCATTTGGTATTATCAATATTTTTTCTTTTATCTATTCTAATAGGTGCCCATTAATCACACAAGACTTAATTTGCTTTTTCCTAGTGGGTCATGATTTCCATATCTTTTTTTTATACATTTTTTAAAAGATTTTATTTATTCATGAGACAGAGAGAGAGAGAAAGAGAGGCAGAGACATAGGCAGAGAGAGAAGCGGGCTCCATGCTGGCAACGTGATGTGGGACTGGATCCCCAGTCTCCAGGATCATGCCCTGGACTGAAGGCGGTGCTAAACTGCTGAGCCACCCAGGCTGCCCGGTTTCCATATCTTTTCACGTATACTTATATTCTATTTCAGTATCTTTTGGTGTAATTTATGTTCAGGTGCTCTTTGAAGATTTTATTTAGGGATGCCTTGGTGGCTCAGCAGTTGGGCATCTGCCTTCAGCTCAGGGCATGATCCCAGTGTTCCAGGATTGAGTCCCACATCAGGCTCCCTGTGAGGAGGCTGCTTCTCCCTCTGCCTATGTCTCTGCCTTCTCTCTGTGTCTGTCATGAATAAATAAGTAAAATCTTTTAAAAAATAAGGATTTGATTTATTTGAGAGAGAGAACGAGAGAGCACAAAAAGGAGGAGTGGCAGAGGGAGAGGGAGAAGCAGCCTACTACATGGAAGGGAGAAGAGCCCCACATGGGGCTTGATCCCAGCACCTGGAGATCATGACCTGAGCCTAAAGACAGATGTTTAACCTTCTGAGCCACCTAGGCAGCTCTGTGTTCAGCCGTGTGCCCTTTTGTCCATTTTCTGATTGGATTGCTTTGTAACTATTGGATGTATAAAGTTGTTGAGATATAAACCGTTGGATATATGATTTGCAGATGTTTTTTCCAGCCTTTTTGTTTTCTTCAAAGTGTCTTTTACAGAGTAAGAGTTTTGAATCTTTTTGTTTGGTTGTTTATGAGAGAGACAGAGAGGCAGAGACACAGGCAGAGGGAGAAGCAGGTTCCATGTAGGGAAGCCCGAGGTGGGACTCGATCCCAGGACTCCAGGATCACGCCCTGAGCTAAAGGCAGGCGCTTAACTGCTGAGCCACCCGGGCGTCCCAAGAGTTTTGAATCTTGATGAAGTCTAATTTATTGATTAAAAATTTTTATTTTAGGGCTACCTGGCTGGCTCAGTTGGTGGAGTATGCGACTTTTAATCTCAAGGTCATGAGTTCAAGCCTCATGTTGGGTGGAGAAATTACTTAAAAATAAAATCTTTAAAAAAATTAAAATTTTATTTTATAGGTTTTTTTTTGTTATGTATAAGAACTGTTTGTCTAACTGTAGACAAAAATTTTCTCTTACATTCTAGAAGTTTTTTTTATTTTTTATTTTTTTTAGTTTTATTTTTTTTTAAAGGTTTATTTTTAAGTAATGGCTACATCCAGTGTGGAGCTTGAACTCTCACAACCCTGAGATCAAGAGTTGCATACTCCACTGACTGAGCCATTTGGGTGGCCCTAAAAGTTCTGTGTTTTCCATTTAGGTCTGTTATTCCTTTTGAGTTAACTTTTGAATTAGGTATAAAGTTCTATCACGGTTCATTTTTTGCCTTTTGGATGGCCACTTGTTAAATTACCATTTATTTGTGAAAACTGTCCTTTCTCTATTAACTTGCCTTTATAGCTCTGTCAAAAATCAGTTGGCCATATTTTGTAAAAGGTTTTGCTTTTGACTCTCTTCCATTTACCTGTATATCTGTTCCTCTGTCAGTACCATACTATTTTGATTAATGTTGTATGATAGGATATAAAATCAGGTGGTGTGATTCCTTCAGCTTTATTATATTTTTCAAAATAGTTTTAGCTGTTCTCATTTTTTTCGCCTTTCCATGTAGAATCATCTTACCTATATCTACAAATTCTTTTTTTGCTGAGATTTCCATAGTGAATACACTCAACCAGTAAATCAGTTTGGGGAGAATTGACATCTTGACAGTTTTGAGACTTCAATCTATGAATATGAATGATGTCTTTTTATTTATTTATCCTTGATATTTTCATCAGCATTTTATAGTTTTAGTGTATAGATTTTGTATGTTTTGTTAGGTCTACACCTCAGTATTTAATTTTTTGGGAGGCTATTATAAATTGTATTGTGATTTTAATTTTGGTTTCTAATTGTGGATTGCTTGCATATAACTGGTATTGATTTTTGTATATTAATCTATAGCTTGCTTAATTTGATAAACTCAGTTACTACTTCAAGGAGTTTTTCCTCTAAGTTTCTTGGGATTTTCTACACAGACCATCGTGTCATTTGTGAAAAGAGCTGGCTTTATATATTACTTCTGATCTGTGTGCCTTTTATTATCTTCTCTTGACTGATTTCACTGGCTGACATTTCAAGCTCTGTTGAATAGGAATGGTGAGAATAGATATCCTTACCTTCTTCTCAGTTTTTAAGGGAAAACATTCAGTTTTTCATTATTAGTATGACGTTAGCTATGAATATGTTGTGGATATTTTGTAGATATTTTGCTCTTTGTCAAGTTGAGCAAGTTCCCTTCTGTTCCTAGTCTATTGAAAGTATCATGAATGTGTGTCGAATTTTCTCAGTAATTTTTTGCATTAATAGAAATCATATATTTTTCTTCCTGTCTCATTGTTTTAGTTTACATTTCTCTGATAAGTGATGATGAATATATTTTTATGTGTTTATTGGCCATTTTTATCATCTTTCTATTTGAATGTCTATTGTTTAGCCCATTTAAAAAAGAATTTCTTTTTAACATTGATAAGCTTTCAGAAAAGTTGTAAAATACAGAACAAAACTTTTCCTGAACTACTTTAGATCCCCCATTGTGCGTACCTTTATTCCTGAGTGTCAGTATTTCATTGTGTATGGGATATTTGCCTCAGTGGAGGAATTAATATTGTTAAAATGTTCATGTTACTCAAGTAGTGTACAGATTCAATGCAATCCCTATCAAACTACCAATAGCATTTTTTTTTCATAAAACTAGAACAAGTAATATTAAAATTTGTATAGAGCCACAAAAGATCCTGAATAGCCAAAACAATCTTGAGAAAGAAAAGCAAAACTGGAAGTATCACAATTCCAGATTTCAAGGTCTATACTATAGAGCTGTAGTAATCAAAACAGTGTGGTCCTGGCACCAAAACAGATACATAGATAGTGGAACAGAGTAGAGAACCCAGAAATAAACCCATGATTAGATAGTTAATCTACAACAAAGGTTGCAAAAATATACAGTAGAGAGAAAAGACTGTCTTTTCAGCAAGTGGTGATGGAAAACTGGATGGCTACATGCAAAAGAGTGAAATTGGAGCACTTTTTAACACCATATACAAAAAATAAACTCAAAAAGGATTAAAGACCTAAATGTGAGACCTAAAACCATGAAAATCCTAAAAAAATGTCTCCTATGGCAAAATAAAGCAAAAACAAACTTATTGGTGTTACATCAAAATAGCTTATGGGACACCTGGGTGGCTCAGTGGTTTAGTGCCGCCTTCAGCCGAGGGGCTGATCCTGGAGACCCGGGATTCAATCCCTGGTCATGCTCCCTAGAGCGTGCTTCTCCCTCTGCCTGTGTCTCTCTCTCTCTCTCTCTCTCTCTCTCTCTCTATTTCTCATGAGTAAGTAAATAAAATCTTTAAAAACAAAAAGCAAAATAGAGAGCTGTTGCATAGTGAAGGAAACAGAAAAGCATCCTACTGAATGGGAGAATATATTTGCAAATGATATATGCAATAAGAGGTTAATATCCCAAATATATGAATAACTTGTATAACTTAACAAAAAAAAATCCAATGAAGAAATGGGTAGGGAACCTGAATAGATATTTTTTCAAAGAAGACAAACACATGGGAAACAGATACATGAAAAGATGCTTAACATCACTCATCATCGTCAGGGGCACCTGGGTGACTTAGTTAAGCATCTGCCTTTGGCTCAGGTTGTGATGGAACCTTGCGTCGGGCTCCCTGCTCAACGGGAAGTCTCTTTCTCCCTCTGCTGCTCCCCTTCCTTGTGTGCTCTCTCTCTCTCTCTTTATTATTTTTAAATAAATAAAATCTTTAAAAAAATACTATATGATTCAATAATTCCACTTTTGGGTATTTACCCAAAGAAAACAAAAACGGTAATTTGAAAAAAATATATATGCACCCCTGTGTTCATTGCAGCATTATTTACAATAGCCAAGATATTGAAGCAAACTTAAGTGTCCATCAGTAGATGAATGGATAAGGAAGATGTGTACACACACACACACACACACACACAAATATTATGCAGTCATAAAGAAGAGATAATGCCATTTGAGGTAACATGAATGGACTTACAGGGTATAAATGCTAAGTGAAATAAGGCAGACTGAGGAAGACAAATATGATATGAAATGAATAAGTCAGGGGATCCTTGGGTGGCTCAGCGGTTCAGCGCCTGCCTTTGGCCCAGGGTGTGATCCTGGAGTCCCGAGATCAAGTCCCGCATCAGGCTCCCAGCATGGAGCCTGCTTCTCCCTCTGCCTGTGTCTCTGCCTGTCTCTCTCTCTCTCTCTCTCTCTCTCTCTCTCTCTCTCTCTCACACACACACACACAAATAAATTAATTAATTAATTAATTAATTAATCTTAAAAAAAATGAACTGAATAAGTCAGAATAAAAAAGCACAGCATGAGGAACATTGTGATACTGTAATAGTGATGTGTGATGACGGATGGTAGGCGCACTTTTGAGCATAGCATAATACATAAACTTGTGAGATCACTATCTGTGTCACATTTTTTTTTTTAAGATTTATTTATTTATTCATTCATGAAAGACAGAAAGAGGCAGAGACACACAGGCAGAGGGAGAAGCAGGCTCCATGTAGGGAGCCCGATGTGGGACTCTGGGATCACACCCTGAGCTAAAGGCAGATGCTCAACTGCTGAGCCACCCAGGCGTCCCTATTGTGTCACATTGTATGTCGACTAGACACAGGAAATGTAACATTGTGTGTCAGCTAGACACAGGAAAAAGGATGTGTTGCTGCATGTCCACAATACATCCATCAAATTCAGAAAACTACAGTGAGATATTTTTATCATCTCATCCTCAGATTCCATTAAAGTTATGCTGATTGTCCCTGTAATGTCCTTTATGTCTGAAGGATCTAGTTCAGAATTATATGTTACCTGTAGTTGTCATAAGTGTTTGGTCTCCTTAATGTAGAACAGTTCTTTCATCTTTTTTTGACTTTCATGACCTTAACTCTTTTGAAGATTACAGACCAGTTATTTCATAGGATGTTGCTTAGTTTGGGTTTTCTTAGATTTTTTCATGATTAGATTCAGGTTATGTATCTTCATCAGGTCTATCAGAAAAGTAATGCTGTGTTCTTTTTTTTAATTTTTATTTATTTATGATAGTCACAGAGAGAGAGAGGCAGAGACATAGGCAGAGGGAGAAGCAGGCTCCATGCACCAGGAGCCCGACGTGGGACTCGATCCCGGGTGTCCAGGATCGCGCCCTGGGCCAAAGGCAGGCGCCAAACCGCTGCGCCACCCAGGGATCCCCTAATGCTGTGTTCTTAGTGCATCCTCTCAGATGGCTCTTGATTTCAACTTGTCCAACTACTCATATCCACTTTTACTGCTTAGTTAAGGTAGCATCTGCTAGTCTTAATCACTGTGAAACTCCCCTCTTTTCCCTGGGGAGCTCTAATATCCTATTCTCCTTCTAAATTTCAGTTTGTTTATATCTGTATAAAATCATGGTTTTCTGTTTTATTCAGTGGGTTATAATCTGTTATTACTTATTTAGCTGTTCCAAGTGTTACTAACTTGGCTGGTTAGGGATTTTGTTGATCTGGCTTCTGTGTCCCTTGACCTATTCTCATCATTCTTGGACAGCTATTATCAGAAAGGTGATGTAGGTACACTGTGTACTTTCCCTGCCTTAGCCCTTAATATTGGTCTTTTCTCCATTGAGTCCTGGTTCTTTTAGTATATAATGGTATTCAGAAGCCAAGATTTAGGTTCTAGATGTGCTTGCTGCTATTGGGGTGTTGCTGATACCAGTTCCTCCCAGTGAGAAGAGACTAAGGAAAATTTGGGCATATACATGTGTATACATACTTATACATATATGCACTTATATCTATATTTATGTCTGTCTTTATCTGAACATGTTAAAAACCAAGACTTTACACCAGTACCACAAATTCTAATCAAGCCCAGAG